TTAGACAAGTGGCTTAAACAAACTTTTTCATGCCTGGGACATAACCACCCCTTGCCTCTCTCTGAAGATACAGGGACAGAAGAGGCAGATACAGGCCTAGGGCAGGACTCTGGGAAAAGTTTGTCCCCAGCCAGTTTCTGGCCCTACCTCCTGCAGCACGGCTAGCCCGGGCATCTTCACCTCCATGACCTCTGGGTCCTTCAAAGTTCCCTCCAAAGAAAGACTAATAATGCATTTGGCTGCACGTGTCGGAGCAAACCTGTAATCCTAGTCTCTGGGAGGCCAAGGCTGGAGGGACCCAAGAGATCAACCTGGGCAATTTAAGTGACTTAGAAAAATCAGAGAGGGAAAAAAAAAAAAAAGGCTCAAGTTACGTTCCAGATTCTGCTTATTGTGGTAGAGAACTACTTTGCAATGGTAAGTTAGCAGAGGGCACTAGGTCAGCAGTAACGCAAGGTGTAACCTACAATACTGCAAATAAGAATCCTCTGAAGCACAAACCTACAGGCTCCTCACCTGCCCCCAGATCAAACAAAACCATACCCAGAGAAAAGCCCTTGGAACCTTTAAATAATCACCAGATAATTTCCTTTTTCTCCCCCGCCCCCCATTAGCAACTGTGGGAAAGACCTCTTAATCCATTGTAATGACGGCAAACATAGCCCTGAAAGTTGTTTCTGTGAATTCGCTAGATCACTGTTCAGGAGAACATTTCTCAAGTCTTTTCTGGGAATTTTGGTAGAACTCGGCTGCAATCAACTCGCCAGCTGCAGCGTCGGCTGGAAGTTTCTGTCCGTGTGTGCTTCAAGCCAAGTGCCCACCCTGCCTACTAGCCGGGCCCTTTCCTTGTTTCTGAGTCGCCCTGGAAGTCGCCTGCTCCACCTCTGGGCCGATCTGAGCCTCGGGTCGGCCTCGTGGTCCCCTACTACATTTCTTCACTAGAACATGTGGTGCGTCCCCGGCTCACGACGCTCTGCTGGAAGAGTCCATTTTCCAGGGATCGAGAAAGGCCGGCCAAAACAGTGTGCTCCGAAGCGCGGCGTCGGGAGCAGCGACAGTCGGCGGCGAGGCTTCCTGACGCTGCGCCAGCACCCGTGACCTTGGGCGAGCCGGCGGCGGGGGCGGCGGCCGGGCGAAGTCAGGCGGGCCAGGGAGCCGGGCGCCGGGGGGCGGGGGGGGGGGGGGGGGCGGGGGCGCGGGGCCCCGCAGCGAGGCCCGGCCCTCCACAGAGACACATCCTCCAGCGGCTGGCTGGGGGCGGGGGGGACATCTGCCCAAGCCCGGAGACAAAGCGTGAGAACCCAGGATGAGAAAAGCGGGTTAGAGAGAGAAAATCGGAAGGAGGGAAGCCGAGAGCTGACAATTGCGTTAAAAATAGCAACGCGTCTTCCGCACGCCTCTCAGGCCCCAGCTCCACCCAGAGCCGGCCGCCCGGCTAGTGACTCGCCTCCGCGAGCTTGCAACGCGGCCGGCGGGACCCTCCTCAGACAGCCAATCAGCACAGGGAGGGGCGGAGCCTCGTGCCCGCGACGTCACCGCGCTGCCGCCGCTGCCCACGGGGTTTTCGCTGACGAAAGGCCCCGCCCCCGCCCCGTCCCTCAGCCGGAGCGCCCGGCGGAGAGAACGCGTCAGTCGGCCGGAGCGCGGAGCGGTCTGCAGCTCGTCGAGGGCTCGCCAGCCGCGCAGCTTTCCCGACGGCGACAAGGGCGACGGAGAGCGCCCTCAGCGGGTCCCCGCGCCGCCCAGGCCTTGCCACACGGGCTCCGTTTGCGCCTTGACGAGCCCAGCCAGCGGAGGCGGGAGGCGACGACGGGCGGGCGCCGCGAGGAGCGTTAGCGGCCGCGGCCTCCGGCTTCCTCCGCCTCCTGCTCGCCCCCTCCTCCCCCCGCTTCCCGAGCCCGCGCGGCCCGGCCACGCTCGGCGCGGCTGCAGGAACAAAGGAGGACCCCGCGGCGGCGCCTCCTCCGCCCGCGGCCCGTCCCGCTCCCGTCCGCGGCGGCGGCGGCTCCAGGGCGCCCGGCTCGCCCTTCCCGGAGGCCTCGGCCCGACCGCAGCGCCCCGGAGTCGCGCGCAAGCGAGCTCGGCGTGAGCATCCGGGCCCCGCCGGGTGAGTGAGAGGCGCGGGCCCCGGGCGGTCGGGGGAGGCCCGGGACAAAGACGGGGCGTCGTCCTGTGGGCCGGGAACAATGCCCGGCGTGCGGCCTCGCGACTCTCGGGTCGCCCCGGGCCCTGGGCGCGGGCAGCCGGGGCCCAGAAACAAAGGCTGGAGCGCGGGGTGAGGGGCCCGGCCTGCGAGCGCCGGCGCTCTGCATGACTCAGTGGTTTTTTGGCGGAGGCCGGGCTGGGCTGCCCGGAGCGAGGCCTTTGCTCGGAGGGGCTGGGGGTTCGGGGGGCCGGACTCGGCCTGGCCCCCGTGCAGCTCGGAGCCGGGGCTTCTCTTTTCGTCGTTTTTAGTTTTTCCGACGTCGCCGCGCTTCTCCCTCAGGATCCTTTTCAAGGAGGAAATGGAGCGCCCTTCCCTTTGTTCCGTGGTTTTGACTGCTGGACGCGAGGGGTTGGTTGGTGCTAGCTTTCCACGCATTCCGTTGAGCTCGTTTTGGTAAAGGCTTCGGGTCATCGTTATTGACCGAGACCCCTGAGACTTGCTTGGAAAAGTATTTGATAAAGTAGTATGTAGGTCATAGGGCTCTTCCTAAATCGGGGATTTAGATCATTTTCAGGTTTATGAAGTGTAAATAGATTTATTCTACTGATTTAAGTACTTATTCATTAGTGGAAAATATTGCAAATTTTTCAAGTTTTTTCCTTACAATGTCCAAAATTATGAAGGATTTGTTGTACTTACGTATTCTCAGGCCCGATATTAAGCCTGCAAAGTAGCTGTAAACTCTTCATTTGGATGAAGCAACTGAGATCGGGAGAGTAAGGGCTTGGCCAAGGTCACTGGCTTAATTAGTGGCAGATTAAGACTAGAACTCGTGTCTCAACTCCCAGGTGAAGTGTGGGCATTCTTGACATCTCACAACATGATGGGCACCTGAAACAACTGTATTCTATACGTGTAAAAACCTTTTTATTTGTTAGTCTTGTGTTGGGAAGGTTTTTAGTTACATACCCAGATTATTTTTTAAGTTAGGAGTTGCAAAAACCACAGAACTTTTTAAGAAAATTCATTTGAGCTATGTGTTATAAAATTCATTTGAGCAGAATGGTCAAGTTTCTAGTAAGTTTAAAGGAGGCAAATGGTGACTATTTTCCTAAAGAATAGAAGGGGAATGCAGTACATAAGGGTAAACACTTCCCCTCCCCACATAATTTCGCCTTCCTATAAGTAATCTTTACGCTTTCTGCTCTTTGAGGTTTAATTTTTTTATAAACAACCTTGACCATTATTTTTTAGCTTCATAAGTGATTATTGATGCTCAGGTTTTATAGATTGGTTTTGAGAATGTTCTCCAATCCTCCCTTTCCAATTAGGAAAAATTGGCAACCTTAATGCATTTTTGTTTTGCTTTTATTACAATGTTAGATACAGAAATGCTGTATCTTTAGTTCTTGGGGTTGTGTAGGAGTTGGCAGGCTCTGCGATATAAATAGAAGCTGATTTCAGAGGCCCCTGTTGACTAGGCTTTATGTGAGAGCCTCCATCCAGCTCAGCCTGTCACATTGCAGCCTTGTGACAGGCTGAAGCGCCCTCCATGTGATCTGCGCTTCTGAGAAATATTAAAGCAAGCTGTGCACATGTGATGGCATTTAAAAGCTGGGGGGGGGTGTCCTAAAAGATAGGGGGCCATGTGAAAGATCTAATGGCCTAGTGTCTCTTGTCTGAGTTCAAGATTTATTTATAATGGATTGAAAGTAATTCATTATTAAAGTGGGTGAAATCGTTAGATGGGGCCTCTAATTTATTTCCATAAAAATACTCTTTTGTTTAACTGAATTATTTTATGTATGTTGATCAAGTTGGCAATGTTTTCGAAGTTAAATGGCACTCAAAGTATAGCAAGTAAGCTAGCTTAATTCTTACACTGGCTTTGAGGAGTCACTCTTGTATAGGGCAGATTAACATGTGTATGGTGGGAATAATGCATAATTTATTACTTGACTTTTTTGCTTTTGTCATATTCAACATTTAAAAGCCTCAACTAAAAGTGTTTATTAGACTTCATAAGTGATGTTGAAACGTTTGCCCTGCTCCAAATGAGTCAGCTAAATTCCACTCACTATTTAAAGGGACAGTGTCGACTAAATTAGTACTATTGTTCAAAGTTCTTGATTTTGGTCACACTGCTTACTAGCTTGAGTTGCTTGAAATACCGTGCTATTTCATTTATAAAAGATTGCTACCAATTAAGTGTTGTGGGAGTTGTCAATATTCTAACCAACTCAAATTGGTTGTTCTTTAAAATTTTAGTAAATACTTCACAAGACATGCCTTTAACTCATTGAGTATATTCTGATAGGTAGTAGTGGGAAAAATGAGTGGCCACAAGTTACATGGTAACAGAATTTCCCTTTAATTAAATCCTTTCAAATGCTGCTTTTTACATGATTTTTTAATTCTTATTGTGTGTGTTCTTAGTCCGAAGAGAACTTACTAAGCACACTTACTGTATTTGTGCTAATTCTTAGCAACACTTTAGAAAAGTAAACTTTATATTGTTACATTAACTATTATCCATTACCAAAGGTTATGTGTTCATATTGCTTTACTGTATTAAATTTGAAGGTTTTACGAGAACAGTACTTGTTACAATTAATGGAGTTTTGGCTGAGAAATCTATGGTTAATTTGTGCTTTGCAGGTTTGTAGGCATTGGCTTTAAACAAATAGAGATGCTTGCTGGCAGAGTTGTGGAATTACCAATGGCGTCCAGGTATAAAAAAAGTTTTCAGACAAAATGCAATACTCAGCCATTTTAAAGAACTGATAAAAAAAATTAAGAGGTGGTAAATGATTATTGTATATGCCCACTTCACTTTGAAATCCTGTTTGTTTTTTAGCCAACGAAGTAAAAGTAGCATTTCACTTGATACACCTGTAGTGAGGAGCTCAGAAAGTAAAAAATATCCATTTCCCAAGTTGTTTAAAATAAATCTGATACTAGCAGATTAGCCCTTTTAGAAATTGAAATCAGAATGTACAGAGTGCTTTCTTTTTGCTCTTTAAATAACTCGTTTATTTAACAAAGGCAACAAAAATACTCATAATTATCTCTGCTTTTGTTAGCATTAGTGTTTAGAAAAGCAGCTACTGTTGTTGATTGGATCATGCTCCTCTTATTTTGGTGGCATGCTAATTTTTACAATTTTGTTTGTTTTGTTTTTGTTCATAGCAAACAAGGATGGCTCAGGAGACTAACCAGACCCCAGGGCCCATGCTGTGTAGTACAGGATGTGGCTTTTATGGGAACCCTAGGACAAATGGAATGTGTTCTGTTTGCTACAAAGAACATCTTCAGAGACAGCAGAATAGCGGCAGAATGAGCCCAATGGGTAAGTTGTATCCAAGGAAAAACACTTGAAGAGTTGGTGGACAAAAATGCAGAACCAAGAAATGGTGCCTGAGACTGAGAATGCTGAAAGGCAAGGAAAGAAGACATAAGAAGAGCTTAAAATTAAAGCAGCAGCCCAGTACTTGACATGACTGCCTCAGGAATATCTACAGGCATCTTCTAGATTTTTGTTTTCCATTTGGAAGTTTTGTATCATACTTATGTTCACTGGATGACTTTAAGTTATTTTGTGTGGGATATTCAAGTAATTGCAGGATTGCAACACAGTGAACATGCTTAAATCACTAATCTAAGTAAATGTAGGTATTAACTTTATTAAGTCAATACTGAGTATTTGTAGTTTTGGTTTGTTTCTTACAAATCTTTTTTTAAATAGGGACAGCTAGTGGTTCCAACAGTCCTACCTCAGATTCTGCATCTGTACAGAGAGCAGACACTAGCTTAAACAACTGTGAAGGTGCTGCTGGCAGCACATCTGAAAAATCAAGGTAAGACTGATAATTTTGGAGTTCTCTGATAACTGTGGAGAGGACGCAAAGATGTCTATTTACTCATAATAAAGATGCCCTTGGCTTTGTATGTATTGCATAATTAAGGATTTTAGTGTCTAATTTTTAACATCATTCAGTGTGTGAGAAAAAGTACTCTATAACACCTTGAAGGATTCTGTTGCAAGTGTTCCTTTTATTATAATTGAGGTTCAGGAATTGTAAAGATTGAGATTCTGCAAACTATTATAGTGCCACACAAGGTGTTTTATTTGGCACAGCTGCTCCTTTTGTCCTTAAATTGTAGGCACAGGTAAAACTCTTAGATTAAAAAAAAATATGGTAACCTATAAAAATTGCAGCCTTGGGTTGATGAGCCATTTATCAAATTGCTTTCGAGATTCTCAACTATTTATCCTGGGCATCCAATCTTTAAAATTTTTGATTATTTAGCTCCATTTGATTGTGGTAGAAATAACATTATAGAGTTGAACTGACAACTTACTCTTTAAAAAAAGTTCCCTTAACATCTTTAAAAATAATTGTTTGCTTGAACTCAAATAGAAATGTGCCTGTGGCTGCCTTGCCTGTAACTCAGCAAATGACAGAAATGAGCATTTCAAGAGAGGACAAAATAACTACCCCGAAAACAGAAGTGTCAGAGCCAGGTATGCTTTTCGTTTAATACTAGTTCAGTTCTGGATTTGGTAGTATGAGAAAGTTGGTGGTGGGATTCTCTTCTTCCCATTGACCAAAGAGAAGGGAGAGCTATGAAAAAGCCAAGCAATGAACTATTAACCTTTAAAATACCTTGGTATATAAGATAGTTGTATTTTTTTATTCTTTTCTCTGCTCGTCCCCTCCATTTCCCTCACATGTACAAATCAACAGGTCATCTGGAGACTGGTTGTATTGTGAATTTAATGACCTCGGATTTTGAGGCCATAAAGAAAAATTTTATAATCAAAATCAACTTAGTCTTTGTGTTGCAGGAAACAAAATCAAAATAAACAATTGAACACTTAAGGTCCAGGATCCCTGTCATTTTCTGTAAGAATTTAAAACTGCTGGAGAGCATTTTGGTTTTTAATGGTGACTTTGAAGCTGCTTACAGCATAGTCCTAAAGTGCCCAATAGTGACTTGTTAGAATTAGCTATGTGCAGTTTATTCAAATCAGTTTATCCCTTAGAACAGTAACAGTGCAGTATTAAAAGTGTGACAAAATAATGGTTATAGGTCTGCTTTGGAGGCTTGTTTTTGTAACAATGTAGGTAGTTCTATGATATATAGTCTGAAAGTTATGGTCACATTCTTTGGTCATGAATGAACCAATATATTTTGAAATGAGTTCCATTCTTGTGGGGGGGGGGGAACCCAAAAACCTGGCCTTGTCTCTGTGATACACCTTGTAGGTTTTCTTACATACAGTTAACCCTGAAGCATAGCTTTGGATTTGACTGGTGTCTATATTTGTTATTATTTGGTAGATATGTAGTTCTGTATGCATCTTCTGTATCATCCCCTACCATAGGCCGCCTTCCTTGTATGTCTTACTGTTTTTTTCAAATGTGGTTAAGGAAATGGATGACACCACCACTTCCTTTCCCACATTCTCAATTGTTTACATTCGTGCTATCCAAAACAATTTTGTATCACTAGCATCAATAATAACTCATTAGGACAAAGGTAGAATACTATTCTTATAAGTCTAATAGGCTGTTGATCTCAGTGGGTACTAATGCAAATTAATAATTCAGCTTGCTTTAGAAGTTTGGATATGCAAATAGCATTGGTGTGCTAGCATTGTTTAGACACTGATTTTAGCATTGTATAAAATTTAGTATTCTTAAGGTTTGGTATAATGCTAAAACTTTAGAATTTACAGTGTTTCAGATACATGGTTAGAAGTATATTAAAAGTAAATTTTGGTATTTTGTTTTGAACATAATGGATTTAATACAGTGGTCATCATACTGATTACTGAACTTAGATGTGAGCTAAAACTTTATAGCCCCTGTATGTGGAGAAACAGGACTTTTGTAACTTTTCCCTTATTATTCCAAGTAAGTAAAAGATAACAGTTGTGCTTTTTAAAATGCTGTTCTGTGTGTGGAATACTTAATCTTAACACATGAGAACTTTACAGGCACTTCCAGACTGCATATTTTTTTTCTTTTTGAGACAAGTTTTCACAGGATTGCTCCTGTCTGACCCTCAAAGACAATTGTTTTTAAATCTTCATATTTTTCTACCTATGACAGTATTGTACACCTGCAAAATAGCAGAGTAATTACATTGAAGTTCTTCAATCTAAAGTTGATTTAGGGATTAGTGGCTTTGGCTTTTGTCAAAATTGGCTGATTTCATTCAAGATTTTGGTTTTGTTTTTTATTCAGTATAAAACCAAAATGGCTTTCATAGCTAGTACCTTCAAGGTCAACAGCTTTTATTAAAGTGGAAGCTTCTTTTTAAAGTTTCTGTTCGTAAATCTTTTTTGAGACAGGGTTGCATTATGGCAGGCCTACTCACTGTGTAGTCTGGCCTGGCCTTGAATGGTGTGATCCTCCTGGCTCAGCCTGCCAAGTGCTGGTATCGTTTGCACCACTACACCCAGCCTTTTAAAGCCTCTTAGATTCTAGGAAGTTTGGATATGCTAATAGTGTCAGTGATCTGTCAACCTTAGCTTCTTCTTTTTTCTTTTAACTTACGTCATTGTCAGCCTGTGATCTCAGACTAGGTTTCTAAATTTTTACTCTTACTTTTCAGTTGTTACTCAGCCCAGTCCATCAGTTTCTCAGCCCAGTACTTCTCAAAGTGAAGAAAAAGCTCCTGAGTTGCCCAAACCAAAGAAGAACAGATGTTTCATGTGCAGAAAGAAAGTTGGTCTTACAGGTAATAAGAATGTGTAAGACAATGTGTATTTTACACCTGCACATAGTGAAGAGCTCTTGATATCACTATAAACGACTGTACAGTCTTACATATTTTTGTGAGGACATTGAGGGATAACATTAATAGTGGCAGCAAGGAAAGCAGATGAGAGTGAAATGGGATGTGAGATTATGCTTTACTTCATCTGTATCTCTCCTAATCTCAGGGTTATCATAACCTTAAACATAGCACTAAGTTCTTTTTTTTTTTTTTTTTTTTCTGTTTATGTGTTTGGTACGGGGTTTCACTACACAGCTTGGACTCAATAGTGATCCTCCTGTTTTCAGCCTCCTCAGCACTGGGATTTCAGCGCTGCCTAGACTCTGGCCGGCTCAGCATGCCCCAGCCACCATGTGGATGCGGGACCAGGGATAAAGACCCTCGTCCCTGTGTTTGCCAAAGCAAGCACTTAGTCTGCTGAGCTATCTTGCCAGCCCTAACACTAAGCTCTTTGTGCTATGTGTGAAATGTTCCAGATATTTTGTACTTTTTAAGTCTCAAAATTTTGTAGTTGATTTTTATCTTGATTTCGCTTGAGGGAAAATACTACCCAGTTGCCAAATAGTGTGACAGGCATGACAGTTTTGAGATGAAATTCCGCCTGACTATAGAACGTATATAAATCCTACCTTAGATAGTGTCTATTTGAGTTGATAGAAGAAAACCTTCCTGGAAGAATTAGCTTCTAAGTAGCCCATCTTATTTTTTTGGATGTGGCTTAGCCTACTAAGCACTTCTACTTTCATCCTCCCTGTTACCCTTGGAGGGTAAGACAGCATAGTTACTTGAATTCTTTTATTATGTTAAGAATTGGTAATCTTTAATGTTATAAAGTAATGAAAGTAAGGTTCCTTTTCTGTAGTCACTAAAGCACTCTTAATTGCCACAAGTTCCCAAGTGACATGGCTTCCTCTTGTTTGTACAGGATTTGACTGCCGATGTGGAAATTTGTTTTGTGGACTTCACCGTTACTCTGACAAGCACAACTGTCCGTATGATTACAAAGCAGAAGCTGCAGCAAAAATCAGAAAAGAAAACCCAGTTGTTGTGGCTGAAAAAATTCAGAGAATATAAATTAGTACTTGTGAAGAGACTGAAACTTTGTTTTTATTTTAATATATCGTAGGAAAACATTAAAGAGCAGATGCATGGCCATTTTCCTTTGATGTTCTCCAGAGTTTTACTTTACACTTGTCTGTCTTATAACTGATACTTTAGGATGTTTGGGTGTTTGTTACAGGCAGATTGGATAGATACAGCCCTACAAAATGTATATGCCCTCCCCTGAATAAAATTGAATGAAAATTGCACAGCAAATTGAAATAACAGATAACAAAAAAAATTTAGTTCCCATGTGCCAAACAGAAAAATGAAATCTCTGCATGTTTGCAGCATATCTGCCTTTTGGGAATGTAATCCAGGTATAATCTTGGCTAGTGTTATGTGCCTGTATTTTTTTTAAAATGGTACACCAGAAAAGGACTGGCAGTCTACTTCTACCATAGTTAAACTCTTCACCCTCTTTATTTTTCATGTGTTCTTTGGAGGCAGAATGGAAGCTATAAAAAGGATCACACCTTTCTGTGAAACCAGTGTTTGGTGCCATGTGTAAGCCTGGTTAAGTTGCTCTTCTAACAGCTGTCAAGGCATTTTATGAAAGGTATACATCACGGTTAGAAGTAAAACCATCAAGCCAACAACAGGGTCTTGAGATAATCTTTGAGGCTTATGCTGGCCTGCACCAGAAGATGTCTTCATTACTCTCATTACTGAAAATGTATAGCACAGAACTGCACTAGGATTAATCACTTTACAAGAAGAAATTAAAACTGTTTGGTTTTCTTATAAGCAGCTCTATTGAATAACATGCATCTGAATTTTTAAGTTGCAAAGGTATCTGAACAGTTAATTTTTCATGTGCATCTTTTGTTGAATGTTTTGGTTCAAGAAAGAATGTTTAAAGCTTTTTAAAGATTTCAGTTCTTAATGTAATTGTACCCTTCTGCATGGAAAATCATAACCAACATGGCTGCAGTAGACTTCTTAGTGGTTTCCAGCACCACTTGCAGAGGGCTGCTTTATCATATTGTACTTGGGTGTAGGACTCTAGTGTTCTTGGGTGTATTGCATGGGCTGCATTATCTACAGCATTGTACAATAACAACTAGAAAAGGCAGTATACTTCACTGATGCTTGTCTGGTAATATCACTTCTGTGTTATAATGGAAGGTTCTTTGTGATGTATGAAACTTGTGTTTTTTATATATAAATGAGTATAGTTAGATTAGTGTTGTGGTAATGCCTGTTTTCATCTGTAAATAGGTATGTATACGAGGCACTACTTCTGATTTATTGCAGTGTTTGGTCCTACTTTTTACTTTTATTAAAGCATTCAGTTTTGCTTTCAATTTTATGTACCTTAGTTCCAAGTTAGATCTGCAGATGTGTACAGATAGTTCATATTTATGTATTGCACATAATCATGCTATTCAGCATTGATGCTATATTGTATTATGTAAATAATAAAAGCCATGTACAGAGGGAAACTTCCATTTGTTCATTGGGTTTTTAAGCCTTAGGTAGAATTGTGCAGGAAAAAAATCAACTTTATAGTTGCATGTGACTATAGACTTTGCATGGCTGTAGTGTAAATTTTATTTTCCACTGGAGTCCTTGAACTCTTTGTCAAGTGCACACTATGAGTTTGACATACGGCACATGAAAGGGCATTTAATTTTGAAGAACTAAACAGGCATCTTTAGGGTCAAATTGTCAAAACTTGACCAAGGAATGAAATTTAAACATACTATCCATACTATGTTTTAATCTGTTATTGTAATGATTAAAAACCCTGAAGGGGAAAGTAGACGTGACTTTATTTGCAAAAAGTTAACTTAGGCTTTGGCTCTAATGTAGATATGGGCCCAGAGACTCTTGTCTTTGTGGCTATCTATTGTGCCAGTTAAAAGATTTACCATGTAGACTTTGCCCAAAGAGCAACTGAAGCTAAAGAGCATAGCCACTGTTTGTTCCCCATGAGGTGTTGAGGGCAGTCCTTAAGCTGGTTCACTTGTACCTGTCAGTTCTTTATGTGCTGCTGCTTTTGTTTCCTGTGGAGATGTTTGGGATTGAAGTCAGTGCTAAAATGAGGGTGGTATCCTCAGTATTGAGGGTAATCATAGTGGCTTTGGAAATTATTTTGAAAGAAAACTTAATTTTCCAATTTTAAAGACCCCATTAGTGCTACCTCTGTCAGTGAAAATCCTGGTAGATGTAAATCTAGCTAAAAAGTTCTGAAGTCTGCTTCAAGACTTAAATGAGAAGATAGCCCTTAAATCCTTCAGTTTAGAGAAGAGCTTTGACTAGCAGGAAAAAAATAAATGTTTATATACTTTTACTAGAAACTAGGAGTTGGATTAGCAGAGAACATGATGTGAGAGATGACGGGAGGGGAGAAGAGCACTGTGGGGCCCCTGCACAGACTCATATCTGCATGTTTCCTCAGTTCTGACTGAACACTTCAACTTTGTAATGTGTGCTGAGGTTTTAAACGTTTTAATACTGCTGTGTTTCTCATAAATACATGGTACCATTTCAACCCAAGTTTTCCTGGATGGTCCACAGTTAATGTTAGGCTAATCCTTTTTTCAGGTCTGATCTTATAGTGAGCCTACTCTAAAACTAGGCTTTCAGGTTTGACCCAGGATGGTTTTTCCTACAGAATAGGTGTTTGCAAAGGAAAGGAGTTTAACAGTGTAGTTGGGATCATGAATGTTAGGGCCAGGTTATCATCTTGGTAAGTTGGCATTGGTCTGCTTGTTAAAGATGTTCACTGTTCAGGAATATGGACAGCACATAAAGCTACCTAAGATATAGCATTGGCTATTGCTCTTTTGATTTTGAGACAAGGTCTGTAGTTAAGGCTGCTCTTGACCTGCATCCTGTACCCCAAATTGGTCTTGAATTGGTGGTGATCTTCCTGCCTCAGCTTCCTGTGTGCTGGGGTTATAGGTATGTGCCATAATTCCCTGTTCTTGCTAATTTTAATGTCCTAAAATGATTTCTGGAACTAGGAAAGAAAGTTTTTGTTTTGGTTTTTTTTCAGAATCAGGAATTGAACTCGGGCTCTTGTGCTTGACAGGCAAGTACTTATTCTACTAAGCCATCTCCCTGGCCTCTTAGATTGTTTAAAGTTCTATGGGGAGAGGGTTCAAATTTGTAACTAAGCGTTAAGAGATTGGAGTCATTTTTCACCAATCTACAGATGTTTGCATTAAACAAAGTTCTGCCACATAGTGGAAATTGGGCAATTACCTGCTTAGTAATAACAAGTTGATAAGCATATGTCTGTTAATATAATGCCAAACTTCCAGGTTAAGTTCAATATGCGTTAAGCACAGTGGCCTCATGTTGTCTTAAAAACCTGTTGTGAAGGCACATGCGTTTTAGGTAAATTGCATAGGCTAGAAAGGCTATGTGATCTCTTCCACTTGGTGTAAATATTTAATTTGTATAAAACCTTAATTTGATGTTTGTCTTTATTTGAATATACAGAATTCTTACTGCTTTTGTCCCTAGTGATTGAGAGTGATAGATACAATTCCTGACTTGAGCAAAAAATTACAAGTGATCTCAAATGGTAAATATGCACTAGGCAGCAGGTTTTAAAGAGCAGACCCTTGAAATTGCACAAAGCCATTTCACATGTTTGTCCAGTCTACTTTAAGAAGAGGAACATGGGGCCAGGGATGTAGCTCCGCAGCACATGGGCATGCCTGGCAAGTGCAAGCTCCTGAGTTCAATTGCTGGTACCCAAATAACAGAACAATGTGTTCAACCATATAGAAAAGTGTCTTTTAATACAGCTGTTATGTAAAAGCAAAAAAGAACTGTTTGTGTTTTCTGTCAGTGCGTTTTATTCTAGTGCTACAAGTGAAGTTAATCACTTGGTTGCTGTTATTGTAAATCTTGCTCACAGTGTTGACTTCTGTTCCCTTTTAGCCAGTCGGCATTGTTAAGTTGTACTGCACATGAGATACTTGACTCATTAACAGTAAATTGAAGGAAATTACAGTAGTTGAATAGTAATATTTTTCCTGATGATTTCATTTGTTACCACAGAACCTCAGATTACATATCCACAATGACTGGTAATATAAAACCACTTCGGGAATAAAGTAATTGTCAGTCACTTCAGAAGTTGATAGGAAATCCTTCTAACACTCAAGTTTCAGTTGAATGTAGGAATTGTTAACAAAATAATTAGCATTTAAGAACTTAGTTTTTAAAAGCTTTTCCTGGCCATGTAACCCAGTCATGTCCTACTCCCACTTAACAATATGTTCAAACATGCAAATTGTAAATCCACATAGGTAATAATTTAGGGGTTCATTAGATTTTTGAGACAGGGTCTCACTATGTAGTTCAAGTTGGCCTCCAACTAAGGCAGTCAGTCCTGCCTCAGACTCCCAAGTTTTGGGATTACAGGTGTGTGCCACCACACCCAGCTTGATTTTGGTTTGTATTGCATGGTCCTGTAGTCACTCTTAAACAGAACCCCACACTTTTTTCATATCCAACTTTAGAGAAACAGTTCACAGGCAGTGTCTCCTGAGGAGCCCTTGGAGCTTTCTTAACTGTATACAAAAAATATTTAACTTTTCATTAGCACATGTCTGCAGCACATAATGCTTAACAACATGAGGAGTCACTACATACATAGAACATTTCCCCCCATTTTTTCCACTCCCCTTTTATTGCAAGGATCAGCTTAATTTATCTTAAGTCCTTACAAAGCTAATTATCATACATTCAGAACTAGATTAATGGGCCCAAATACTTAAAACACATAAGAATGACTTTTTTTTTTGTATTGAGAATCGAACTTAGGACCTTATGTGTGCCGGGCAGGTGCTTGTCCCACTGAGCTATATCCCTGGCCCAACAATGACTTACAATGTTGAATTTTTGTATTTTTTAGTATTACAAAAATCATCCTATAATCTGTAATACTTAAATAAGAGTGGGTAATCTACCATTATCTGAATTTAAACATGGATAAAATGAACTGTGTTTAAACAAACTTCAGTTTTAGCTAGATTTAGATTGGTTGGCTTGTCAGATTGCTTTGCATATCTGTAGCAGCATAACCAGCTTTATCACTGGCTACTGACATGAGACTTCAGAGGATCTAATATTTTATTTTTTATTGGTATATGTTTGCAATACATAATTATTTTTCTCCTGGGGAGTCAGAACTTGTACATAACAGGTCTTAATTTTTTTTCATCTTTTTCCCCTTCAGAGATTTATTAGATAAAACAGTGAAACTTGTTCAAAGTAAATTCAATCTTAACAGACATCAAAATATATTCATAGTCAAGATATGGCCTTTTAGCATTCAGGTTATAGGGATGTGTATAAGTAAGGCTTTTAAAGTAGAATAAAGAGCTGGATGTGGTGGCACATACCTGTGATCCCAGCACTCTAAAGGCTAAGTCAGGATCCCCATGGGTCCATGACCGGTCTGAGATACCATAGTGAGTACAAGGCCAGCCTGAACTACATGGGGAGACCTGTATCCAGAAAAAGGGGAGAGTGGTTAAAATTGCTCCAAGATTTGCAATACATGGTAACACAACAGTGTTATCCATCGTAAAGCAGATGTAACCATTTAAAATTTAATACTAAGGAATACACTAATAAAATTACTAAGGATTAACTGAGTAAACCAGGTATAAAGTCAAAAGAGAGGTTAATTCACATTTCATTCCTAGGGTCTATTAAGAGTAATTAATTCTGAGCTAACATTTTTGTTAGCTTTTTTAGATTTTCTATGGTTTTGATGAGTCCAGAAATTAATGATTTTTTTTTCTTACTATTAAACAGTTTTATATAACATCTACCAAGGACAACTTAGAAAAAAATTTAAGCAAGGCCTGGTTCAGGTCTAACAAAATTTAAATTATTTAAAAAGGTGGTCATGGTGGCACCCACCTTGTAATCGCAGCACTCGGGGGGGCTTTGGGAGGATTGGCTTGAGTTCAAGACCCTGTCTACATAGACCCTGTCTCAGAAACCAAACATAGACTGTTAAATTCCTAGAATAGTGTGAATTTGCTTCTAGGAGTCCTTGAGAACATATAAGAAGTATAGCGCTCTAGTACTACAGTTGGTTTATTTCATTTATACCTCCTAATAAATTCTTCGAGGAGTTGGTAGTGTGTAGCCATTGCTGTTCTGTGGTCACCCGGATATGTATACATTGCTTTTATAAAACCACCACAGAAGTCATCCTAAGAACATAAGCAGAGTAGTGGTTGAAAAGTTCCCCCACTTTCTCCAGGCTGGAAATGTCATGAATGCTCTGTAGGTAATTTTTTAACTTTATTATAAAGTTAGTTGTATGGGGCACACATTTGTAAAGCTGAGAATCAGCTGCATCTTACGGGCTGGATGTGTGATTACTTGTAGAAACCAAACACAACAGGCCTGTAGCTCGCCAAGGGATTTGAGAAGAGCAAACGGGTTCTGGTATTTGGCTCGGAGAAGCTGCCTCTGCCCCATGAGCCACATGTGAGGTGGGGTGGAGGACACGTACGGTTTTTACTTTCATTGAGATTAAGAACTAGTACAGTGGGCAAGAATAATCTTTCAATTGCCAAGTTGGCCCATTAACTCTAGAACTGAGAAAGTAAAATTTTGAGTTTTATGAGAATGGGTGTTCAGAATCAATGCTGGTTATTATTAGGTGTACACCATTACTGAAAGCATGCGTGGAGGGTAGATTTTCCATTCTAGCAAAAGCACTAAAGTAGATGGTCAGATACTGGCTTTTAAAGTTTGTACTTAAAAGTTGTGTCGCTCTGGAAAAGTTAATCTTGAACATCTGAGTACCTTTATCTGTACAGAATTTAAGGATTAAAATGACATGTAATAGATTTAGTGGCGGAAAGGCCATTGTGGGGGCTTGATGTAGGTACATGTTGCCACATTACCCTTAACACAGATATTAACCTGTGCAAAAGCCTGTATTTGCTTATATAAGACGCCAGATTCTGATCTGCAAAGTAACAAATCTTGTGGTGAACTGAAATTCATTTGGTAGCATAGAAATACGACCCCACCACAAGGTTTTCTGTAATGTTTGTTCTTAAACTGGAATCCATAAATTGCCTGTGAATTTTGGAGTCTGTGCTTTTTCATAGACTTTTCAAAGAGATTCATATCTCAAAAAAGTCCCAAAATCTAAATGGCTTTCTTATGAAGATACTTGGGTACATTAAAAAGGATGGGCCAGGGAGATGGCTCAGTAGAGTGAGTGCTTGCCTGGCAAGCACAAGGGCCTGAGTTCAATCCCTGGTA